GTTATCTCACTAAAAAGTTCTATGTTTAAAAATATTGTTACTTTTTGGTAGTTATAACAATTAAGTCTATGTTAAAAATTCTACATCGCTTCTACACATTCAAGAGTGCAATTCTATATGCAATATTTGAATCAATGACAGTTCGCTTGCTAACCGTGGTGAAAATGTCCTATGGTTTTTCAGATTTAAGCTTCCTGTATGTTTTTAATTGAAAATGATCGCACAAATGTGTTTATTGTAATTGGTTATGTTTCTTATCTTTGTTCAAAGAGACAATGGTTCAAATCTCATTACTGATATTGTTTTCCGTAAAGAAGAAAATAATAAATGATTGTGAAGACGAATCTACCCCCTCCTACTTTCACTCTAGATGCGGGAAATTTGAAATGGAGCTTCAAATTTTCTCATTTGGCTTTTATTTATTGTGTAGATATATGACTATATACTAGCTTTTGATCGGTATGTGGCCCGATTATTTTAAGGTGTCGACTCTTAGAACGGGAGAGTCTCTGAAAATATATTCAAACATTAATATGTTATTTTATTTTAAAAAATTATTAAATATACTATCAAATTTTAGACAAATTATTACGCCTCTTATTTTTTTCAATTCAATATATATACATCCAGCTCAAGAGAAAAATAAAGAACTTTAATAGCCCATTTGAAAATTTTATTATCAAATTTATAAAAAAATTATTTTGTATTTTATATTTTATTTATAAAAGAAAAAATAATGTATAGGCATACTACACTCCACTGTCTTACTGTTTCATATTATCTTCTAATCTTTTATAGCCATCAACCGTCAAACCTTCGTTCCCTTCCATCAATAGCATAATAGTATAAAATATTTCAAGATTCTAATACAGAAAATTCTTGAACCAATCCAAACAATCTATAGATAAGTGGCCACCTCAGTAGCCTCATCGAATACATCTCTTCTAATCTAGTCATGAGCTCTTAATCCGGCTTGAGTTCACACCACATGTAAAGAGCTCGAGTTCAATAGAATGTTAGATGATCACTGGTGGCTGGTAGATAATATGTCTGCTAATCTGAACCCTACAGAGAGCTTGTATAATCATCAACTATTTTTAGTATTTACTCCCACCCACTATATGTATGCCTATCTCTGGTAAAACAATCGCTCGTTGTCTTTCAATCGCATCACTTAATTCATGATGTTTTCGAATTCCTCCAAGTTCGTAGTTTTGTTCTCTAAATTAGGAGTTGTCAACCATGCCCCCTCAAATAGTGTGTCTTAAGGATAAATTAATATTAGAGAATGTGTAAATAATTTAAATAGAAATGAAAAGGTTTAGACCATGTAGTTATACACAATTGGATAAATAAGTCGCTACCCGTTCTTAAACATCAATGTAAAAGAAGCTCAATAAATGCGCTCATTACTCAACTTTGGCTACCTTATGAAATAATAAATTTCAATCAATTACAACTAATAATATCACAAATAATCAATACACTTCTTATTAGGTCCGATAGGCCAAAGCTTGACCTGACTAGTAATCCAATAAACACAGTCGCACAAAAAGGCCAATTGCTAACTCCTAACCTCGATGAGTCAAATAAGACCAATCAGGCACCTAGATCTGGGAAGCAGTTTATCCATCCATTAGTCATGCAATATACCTGTATGATCGCTATTACCTTCATTTTGGAGTTTTGAGCTTCTTTACATTCCTGGCCAAATCATTTAAAAATAACGAGTGAGTAACTAAGGCTTACCTTTTAAATTAATAGAATTGGCTGGTCATCCACCTTGCATTTGCTATTTGTATTTGAATGACATGGTTCATTTTAAGGTTGAACAAGATGTAATTGGTCGGTTTCACCACATGAATTCAATGAGCTTACTTTATGGCTATTGATTGGAACACTAAAACACATCATCAAGTTAGACATGATTAAATATATGATGTCCCTATTTTGCTTATACAGGTGTGCTTCATGAATCTTTATGGTTTTCTTCTTCTTGGTTCATAATTTAGATATGATGTTTTGAGCACCTCATTTTATATTTAGGAGATGTGGTTGTATGGCATTTTGGCTCTAAATGGATGTTTGATAATCGCACAAAGGGAGATATGTGATTAAGCTCTCTATTTCCTTTCAAGTGTGTTATTTGTGTGTGATGGTTAACGAAATTAGGGATCATTTGTTTTTTCGATGTTTGAACATAGAGTTTTGCACGTTATGTTTGTGATACATGCGATTATTCACCAGGTGAAGGATGACATGAAAGTCTAGAAGAAGCTGTGTAGAAGTTGGAGAAGCATCATGTGGGAATTTTTCTGTAGACACCATGGGGTGGTTAGTTAAGTCTAGAGAGAAGGCTGCCGCTGGGTTTTGGGAAGAAGAATATGACAATGTAGGAGTTGACTGGGAAAATAATGGTAGTGCTAGAGGTTAGAATGCTTAGTGATTGTAACTTCACTATAGAGTCAGCCATGATACTGGTCTTAGGATGAGTTAGATGGTTAGAAGAGTGTTAGTGTAAAAGCCTACGATAGACTGCTGCATTTCATTTTAATGTTTATGGTGTTGATTTAAATATGTTGGAACTGAAGGCACTTTGGTGCAGAAATGGATGGCTTGTAAGGCCTTCTATGAAATTGCTTTAGGTGTCGGTCAGTTTCAGCTATAATTAAAGTCATTTACTGTACTATCCAATTCTTTGTCGGAGGAGTTGTCAATGTCGATTTTTCATCCACTTTATCTTAGAAACATTAAATCTCAGACCATCAGAAACGGGACAAAGCCTAACTAATAATTATATACGTCTCATTCAGCACATGCAAAACATTCAGACAGTTTACAAAAAAAAACATTCAGACAGAAACAGACCCATGAAAATTGAAAGATAATTAGTTGTCAAAGATTATCTTGTAGTACCGAAACTCATAATCAACATCATTATAGAGTTAAGATCATCCAAACACGTCACAAGTAAGGGAGTAACAATAGAATCCATGAGGATAAAATCTGGTTATTAAAAGATTAAATTGCTTCCCTTCCATTCATCGTCATGTCGTCGTGCCCAGTAGATGTGGGAGACAATTTAGTTCCGAATGGACGCGATAACTGCTCCAAAGGTCAGGCCAAATAGGGCAATTGCTAATTTCCTGCTCCAATAAGTTGCTTCCTTTGCATGACCTCCCATCTCTGCCAGTTCACTTTCCAGCGCTGAAAAGCGACGTTCCTGCAAGCAAAACATTCAAACTAATCACCGAATGATAAAAAGAAAAACTAACTTGAAAACTCATCATCATTCCCTTCATGTCTAAATCAGATGTCAAAACTGAGTTAACAGATAATAATCTACAGTGGACAGCGAGTTGTTAAGATTTTCCTTGCTGGATGGAACTAGGATAATTGAACAAAGAAAGATGAAGCTATTAGGTGTGGGGTTAAACTCTCAAGGTCAAGAAGAGTACACAAAATGAAACAAACCAGTAAAAGCCTAATCGGCAACATGGGTATGCTCATTGCTCACTTGTTGGAGGATCGTTAAGGAGAATCTCAATAAAGTTCTTCTCGTTGCTCACTTGTTCCGAATCAAGTATCGCACTCCCATTACGGACAAAGCACTTCTCAACGCCTACACATAGTTAATTGTTGGGAGGTTCGTGGAGAAGAACGCCAAGAAATCTAACATAAAAAACGACAAAAAGAGAATCCACGCTAAAAGTGAGAGAGCTAAATAAGTATAAATGTAATTTCATTGTTCCTCCCCCCCCCCCCCCCGACTCCCCATTATTTGGAGTATATGTTGTGTGTTAATAATTCATGTTAATAATTGCACGAAACATAAGAATGTATAAATACAATTTAATTGTTCCGTCTCTCACTCCCACGTATTTGAAATATATGTTGTGTTAATAATCTGCACGAAACATATATGAATAGGCAGGAGATCTGGAAATTGAACATTAACGAAATAAATGATAAACATATTTTGTTCTCCATAAATCACGTGGTCTCCTTTCACTGTAGGAGTGGAGAAATATCTATTTATTGTAGGCTCAATACTAAGTACTCAGTCACTACCACTACAATTCTCATTTCTCCATGCTCCTTCTAGCTGACTCCTCCTCCGCAGCTCTTACTCCACCAGAGGGAGCAAGAAGAAGGTTGGTGCATTATTTTTTCTATTTTCATTATTTTTTCCTGCATTGTTTCCTTCCGTTTGGGCCGCCGTCTTATGACTCCTGCTATCATTTCCTATTTTTCAGATCGTTGTGTTGTTCTTATTTTGTTTTGTCTTGTCGTTCACGACAACAAACTTCTTCACTGATACTCCCCGCCTTAGTCCTCCACCTCCACTTCAATATGCTATTTTGTTTTTTTTTTGTTTTTTTTTTTGCTTCTAATGACAATCTGCATATTTGATTTATATTGCTATTATTTCAGTTTTTGTGATTTGAGCGACTGTCAAATGTGAAATTTATTTGTTTATCATATAAAGATTCTTCATGGTTTGAGGAGTGCAAACAAAAACTTCAGTATTAAAAAAAATATGTCGAATATCGAATAAAAAAAGATAGTGGTTCATGATCCAGAATTTATCATTATAGAACAATTGGAATATAATTTACATAATTGTTCATACATGTAAAATAAACATAGTCACATTTTTACCGCCAGGTTTTTTATTTTGTTAATTATTTTTAAGTTACAAATATTGAATATCAAACCATTTAGACCAAACTTATATCATTCATTTAACTTCTATTCACTAACAACTATTCGGTATACTGTTAATCGTCCAAGCAGATAAATACTTTCACTATTTCAATTGATTGACAAGTTTAGTAATCAAGTTACCGGTTCTAACAACGCCGCAAATACATGAACAAATTGATGTAAGGTGACAAATAATTGGACCCAAACTACAACAAAACCCATGAGAGCAGCCAATTAGCTTAAACCATTTTAAATTTGCGCGGTAACCCGAGAAACTAGGGTGGGAGACTGTAATAGAAAATTTCATAGAGAATTGGAGGAAGAAGAAGAAGAGCCGGCATTTAGGAAATCTTGAAATCGCCCAAACCATAGTTGTGGAAGGGAAGGGAAGGGGGAACCTTGGAAGGAACAAATCCAAAAAAAAAAAACAAAGAAAAAAGGTAGTAGAAAGAAATAGAGAGGGTTTGGGGGAGGGAATCAAACAACATAAACAAATTCCATCACCGCCATCAACAGAAAACCCACGAACAAATCTCTTTCTTCCTCCTATTTTCTATCATCCCTTCTGTTTTGGGCTGTAAAGTTTCTGATTGCCCATTCTCTATTTGGTATAGGGATGATGAACTTGGTGAATGAGAATTGAGAAATTCTTGCACTCTACTTGTTTGATAATTTTCTCCTGAAAATATAACATAGGAAAAGAGAACACGACGGAGGAAGAGCAATATTGGAAGAATACAACAAGGAATCGGAGGGGAAATAAAATGTCAAACTCGGCGGAGTTGCCGAGTCTCGAACAAAATTTCTCAGTTGTTTCCAAGGCGGATGATAATTCCACAGAAGGTTCAGATACTACTACAACAGTCGTTTCCCCTCCTCCACCCGATGATGGCTCCACGTCTCCGTCTTCAGGCGATGGAGGATCTGATTCAGGTTCCAAAGCCTCTCCTCCCGCTAATAACAAAACAAATAATGAAACTAGCAATGGTTCACCGTCACCACCGCCGCCATCGGGGTCAAATTCTAGCAATAATCAAGGATCTGCGGACGCTCCTGATGACTCGGGAACGCCACCGCCTCCACCACCCTCATCGTCGAAAACTCCATCGACCGCAAAATCACCTCCCGTGTCGCAAAATTCCGGGTCCAATTCTCCTACCCCTTCTCCTCCCCCGCCTCCTTCTAACTCAGGAAACCAATCTCCTCCCTCGTCAACGGGTCAGCCATCTCCACAAAGTGGTGGGAAATCACCACCCCAACCATCGACAGGAAAACCCAATAATCCCCAGACACCTTCCGGCGATGGTTCTCCTCCTGCCCCAAGGACGCAAACAGCTACCCCAACACCGTCAGGGACACCTTCTGTGCCGCTAAGTTCAGGAGGGTTCAATCCTCCCCCGGCAATTGGGTCCCCACCAGGTCAGGGTGGATCTGAAACCAGCCCTACTCGCGGAAACGTGCCTAGTAGTGCCTCTTCGGCATCCCAAGATGGTTCGATTGATTCGGCTTCGAATTCAAAAGCAACAGGAAATTCTGGAAACTCTAGTAATGGGAACGGGAATTCGGCTACCACGGCTATAATTGTGGCAAGCACAGTGGTGGTCAGCGTCATACTCATCGCACTTATCGCAGTCATCATCGCTACTAGGAAGAAAAAAAGACGCCATGACCCTCCTTATGCTCCTCCTTACATGACTCCTCCCAATAATTTCTCTGCAATGCAACAATCGGGTAACAATTAGTAATTAAATGATTTTTTTTTGTAATAACCGATGATTGATTATTAGTATGTTCTAACCCAAGCAATTGCGTGGCAGACCCATACTATTACGGACAAGCAGGTGGTCCGCATTCAATGGGTTACTCTAGTCAGAACCACTCGTATGCGTCACAACAAAATTCAGGGGCGTTTAGCGGAGGAAGCCAGAGAGGCATGAGCTCTGGCCCGGATTCAGGGCTCATCGGAGGGGGGAAGTCCTTCTTCAGCTACGAAGAGGTGATGGAAATGACGCGTGGATTTTCTCGTGAGAACATTATAGGGGAAGGCGGATTTGGATGTGTGTTCAAAGGGTGGCAACCCGATGGGAAAATGGTGGCCGTGAAGCAGCTCAAGGCAGGGAGTGGACAGGGAGATCGAGAGTTCAAGGCCGAGGTCGAGATAATTAGTCGCGTCCACCATCGCCACCTCGTATCTTTGGTTGGTTACAGCATGTCAGATGCTCAAAGGCTACTCATTTACGAGTTCCTTCCCAATAACACCCTTGAGTATCACTTGCATGGTAATATATCAATGTTTATTAACTCGTCGGTCTTCATTTATCTATGGTAACTAGATAGGAAGCTTCCATAATACGAATCTTTTTGGGTTGTGACCGAGAGTTTGTGATGTTTTGCTGTTGTTGGCAACAGCAAAAGGGCCAGGGTTGGATTGGTCTCAAAGACTGAAAATTGCCATAGGGGCAGCTAAGGGATTGGCTTACTTGCATGAAGATTGTACGTACACTCAAATACTCGATTTATTATTTACTGTTCATGAAGACACATTAACTTTTTTTCTTCCTTTCTTTGTGTAGGCAACCCAAAAATCATTCATAGAGACATCAAATCAGCAAACATTTTATTGGGTAGTGATTTTGAGGCACAGGCAAGTTAAATCTTGCAATCCCCCTCCCTTTCCTTTCTTTATTAAAGTTCCTACTTAATAGCTACTTCCATTCCTAGCTAATTGCTTTCCAATAAAAGTTTAAAAAAATTTCAGGTTGCAGATTTTGGTCTTGCCAGACTAAATGATACAACTCAAACACATGTTTCAACTCGTGTGATGGGAACATTTGGGTGAGTTTTGGTTAATCTCGGAAACTACTTATATACTCTCTTAAATATGCTTCATGATGTTCTAATTAATGAAAAGTGATGAACTAATAACAGTTAGTGGTGTTTCTTTGAAGGTACCTGGCTCCAGAGTATGCTCAAAGTGGGAAGCTAACTGATAGATCCGATGTGTACTCGTTTGGGGTTGTTCTTCTAGAGCTTATAACTGGGCGAAAGCCTATAGATTCAAGTCGTCCCCTTGGGGATGAAAGCCTGGTTGAATGGGTAATTGAAAGCCTTGATGATTGTTTTTTATTTCTTCCTTTTCTTTTCTTCTATCTCTCAGTGCATAATGATGTATTCATTGGTCATTTTTTATATGTTGGGACAGGCTCGTCCTCACCTTATGCATGCCATGGAAACGGGAGATCTTGGTGAGCTAGTCGATCCTCGACTAGAGAAGCGATATGTGGAAGCAGAAATGATGAGGATGATCGAGACGGCGGCTGCTTGTATCCGCCACTCTGCTCCCAAGAGGCCAAGAATGATGCAGGTAGTGAGAGCATTAGACAGCGATGAAACAGGAGACCTCACCAACGGGATGAAGTATGGACAAAGCACAATGTACAACTCTGGCCAGTACAACGAAGAGATAATGAAGTTCAGGAGGATGGCACTAGGTTCAGATGACAGCGGGGAGTTTGGCTACAGTACCGGAGATTTCACCACAAGAGAGATGTCTCACGGAGTACCAATAGCCAATTCCACTGGGGATTACTCAAGCAGCGGGGAGTTGGAAACTCGAGCCATTAATAGACCCTCATCAAGAAATTGGTAGAAGAAGATAAACCCCCCCCCCCCCCCCCAATTATCATTCATTCTAGTAACAAGAAAGAAAGAAACGGAAAAGGATAAAATGTTAATCAAGTGCTTGAAACATCAATGTTCTTTACTCCATTCCCTCCCTCCCTCCTTCCTTCCTTCCTTCCCTCCCCTCCCCTCCAACTCTTTTGCTCTCCATGAAATCTCGAGTTTCATGATGTATAGATAAAGGAAGTGAGGGTGTAACTCAGTGAAAATCTTGTGGAAATGTAATTTTTCGGCACAATGCAATTTTCTCGTGATCATCTACCTATCTATTATAGGATGATTGTGAAGTCAAAACTAAAAACCCAAGGGAACAAAATACAGTGGTCATGTCTTATTGAATCCAAGCACTCAAACCTATATTTTATTATATGGTAGGGGTGGGCAATGGGTGGACGAGTGTGATTTGATCTCAAATTGACCCACCTACTTACTAGTAAGTACGTATAATTTTGACACATTATTCACTTACATCCTTTTCGGGTTGGCTAGGTTGGGTGGCGATATGTGTGGTTGGGTTGTGAGTTAACCCACAAAAATAATATTCTCCAACTAGCCGGTAAGAAAGTTGATTAACATCTATAATAACATACTCACAAATTAGTAATATTGTATCAATTAAGACACTTCTCAATTTATCTCTTATGGATTAGAGTAGTATTTGCATAAAAAAATTATTAATCAATCAACCAACAGTGTAGAGAAAGTTGACGCATTTTGTGACTTTCATACAGTTAATAGTTATAATTTCCATCCCAATATCTACTAGATATTACACAATGTAGTAACCAATAATTATAGTCCAGAAATTTATTTAGGGCTAATACCTCTACAACACCCGAACTATAAAAAAATGTCACTTGTGTCCTATTTTATTCAATATGACAATCCAAGGTAACTTCTAAGTTGACAATCCAAGGTGACTTCTAAGTTTATCTTTTTGTTTATTGGACTAAAATAGACGCATAATCCATTGGCAATTTCTCTAATTAATAGTTGTCACACTCCAAATCAAACAAATACTTCTTCATCAATAGTGTGTAGATCGTCCTCCTTTGATCCATAGACTCATTGGTCAGAGAGTGCAAATTGCTCCGGAGTCCTCTCACAACATTTTTGTGATTTTTCTTGCTCCTTTTGCAATTGCCTTATGAGTTATATTTTGTTAAATATTTCATACAACGCAGTTATAGTGTTACCTTCGATTTGCCGCAAAGCGCAAGTGAGCGAGCCAATATCTTTTTTTGTTATTTTAAAATTAATATAATTATATATTAAAAAATAATCATATATGTCAATGACATAGGCTCTACCTGACTGTCACGTCATCAAAATTTAGTATCCTTTGACCACCTCAAATCAACCATTATCTCTAACGGTCAACAAAAGCGAGAGGATACAAATGTCTCAAATATCTCATATGTGTGTTGTGATTGTCATATTGAATAAATAGGAATAAGTGACATTTTTTATAGTTCAGGTGTTGTAGTGGTATTATTCCTATTATTATTCTCTATCTTCATAAGTTGATGGTGTGCGTAGTATGTGATTCGAGCCAATTTATACCCCTTTCCTTTTGTCGTTTGACTTGTGTACCATCGTCCTTGGAGCCATTTTACACTAGGTTTTGTTATTTTTTAGTGTGTTTAGGCTCTAACAGGTGAAATTGGCAAAAGGGTCGAAAGTCGGATGGAAATGAGACAAAACGGGACCAAATGGTGAAAACAGTCAAAGATGCTGGTTCAGGGAATTTCTTCATGATCTCAGGGCGTGAAGAGTACACCAAAACTTTGAACGTCGCATGATCCCTAGAAGACCAGGACGACTCACGGCTAGTTGCAGACTTTGCGGTCTCAAGGCGTGAAGATTTTGACCAGACCGTGAAGTGCGCTTTCAGTCTGCATCACGGTTTTGTTGCGAAGTTCATGGGCGTGATTGTCACACCCCCTATCTTTGTGGGTTTCATAATACGTTAAATAATGAGTTAAATCTTGAAGGTAGGTATTGAGAGTAAAATTATTTCAGAAGTACATAGTTAAACTTATAATTGTATGAGACATAACTTGACCCCATGAGTTTCTACCATTTGGATTAGGTTTATATCCACTTAATATTATTATTATTAGTAACTTTAAATGGGTAAGTGGGTAAGTAAAATGAGAACCCCACTAATTGATTGTTTTTCCATGTACCGAGAATGACCAGGGGGAATTAATTTGCCATGGATAGACTAAATATGGACAGAACAGGTGGCTTTATCTATCTATCCAATATCCTCTCCACAAACACGTATTATACCACCTGTCTTGCATACCATTTGAGCTGAACCCACGTGTGCCACCTGATCTAGTGATGAACGAATTATAGAAGAAGAAATGGGTTCTCCTGGAGGGAGAAGGAATTAGAAGCAGCAGTAGGGAAGTTCTTTGAAGAAGGGAGTAAACCGATCAATGCTAAGTCATTTCTTTACCACCCAAAATCATGTCCTTCGAGTAGTGGTGCCGTTGTCACTTACCGATGGTATTAGGGGAGTTGTTGCGCGATAGGGATTGGCAAACGAATCACCGACTATATAAGGTATTCCCTTTAACTCTCTTGATAATATATGCTGGTCGGGGTAATACTATGGAAACAGGTCCGAGTTAGAATAGATGAGGTAGTGCATGTGTAAGCTGTGTTTAACGCTTCGTATGTGTATATATGTATGTATGTTGGTATATAGATAAAGAGACAGAGTGGGGAATGCATGTATGTATGGATGAGTTTCGGGAAGTTCCCACTTCTGTAGATGAGATCCGAATTTTAGGTTTTATGGGAAGAATGAAAGTGGGCCTGCATGAGGAACTATTTTGTATGTTTGTTGATTATAATAGTGGATTAGTTGGGTTGCTCTACCTCCTCTGGTTGAAACTCGTATATGTATATATATACTAGTGGGTTAACAAGGTTAATGGGGGAGTCATATGGTTTTTAAGTTGAGAGGAGTGTTAATGAAATGAATACATGCATGAGCAATACTCGATCATGAATTGATAAGGAATTAGGTGGGTGTGTGATTGATTCATAAATGGTACTTGTATTGAACAAGTTTAATCATATGGTCTTTAAAGGGGGAGAGCAAGCAGGCGAATCCTCAAGACAAAAGGGAAAGCAGAGTAATTATACTGTGAGTAAATCTTAACCTAATGCTTATATTAATATGATTATAGTATTCGGGTCATGAAGCGGCCCGAGTATAACGTGTATGATGGCTTGGTAAGACTTAAACCAATTATGATTGAACGTCAAGTGTGGCGTGGCTATATAATTGCATGAGATGAAATGATTGAATGACACTATGATTGGATGAGGTTACCATATTGTGGTAATTATATGATGATGTGATGATATGATAACATGATTGTATGATGATATGACCAGAAGGTCATAATACATGTTATGTGAGTGCTAAACGGTATTATGTGATGAGTATATATGAAATGTGAAATGGTATTCAAGGTAGTCAAGTTAAAAGAATGGAGAGAAAGGTTGCCTATTGTGAATGATACGAGATGAGATAGAATGGCATGTGAGCCATACAAGTCAATGTGATATGAAATGGCCTTGAGGCACACAAGTGATACATTGAGTTGTGACTAACTATAAGACTTTGCATGGTCACCTAAAGCAAACGTAATGGCGCCCTGTCATGCACTCATTACAAGTGAAAAGAGGCTTCAAGCCTAAGAGATAAAGAGTTATACGAGAACTCCTTTTAAGGAGTAATGCCAGGCCTGGCTACGAGTTCACGAGATATGGCACTTTGTGCCCACGAGTTTACGAGTTCACGAGATATGGCACTTTGTGCCCACGAGTTTACGAGTTCATGAGATATGGCACCTAGTGCCCACGAGTTTATGAGATTTGGCACTTTGTGCCTATGAGATTACGAGATCACGAGATTACGAGTTCACGAGATCCCGGGGAGTGCATGACTTGGCAAATTAAAGAATAAAAGCTACTGAATCCAGCTAACTGTATGTATGTGTATGATTGGATGCTGATTCATTGTTGATTTTGGATGCAACATGAGTATGTGAATGCCAAGCTCGATATTTGTCATCTTTGTGTGATATATGATTGAGATGGCAATATTAATATTCTCCATATTTAATTCGTGTGATATCATAGTGTTGTTTGTATGAAAATGGATGATGACTTGTATGTGTGCATACTTACTCGAATGATCATGTTGGTATGTGACATGTATTGTATAATATAATGCATGATGGTTTTCGGTATGATATATGGGCTATGACGATGTGATATAAAATGAGATATCGGGTACATGAAACAGGGAGTAACATTTGAGGTGCTAAAGTGAAATGATAGGCAAGACACCTTGCCTAGAACGAAAGTGTATAACTAGAATATGGAAATGGCCTATAAGGCACATGAATGAGAAAGGTCAGAAGATGGTTAAAAGTATACTATCTGTATATGAAAGGGAAATTGATTGGCCTTAATGGCATACATGGAAATGTTATTGCATGGTCAACTAAACCAAGCATAATGCTTGCCTTGTTATACACTCAACACAAGATATGGGAAAAGGGAGAACATGGTATGATGACACCGGACGGTGATTCGTTCCGCAGTGGTATGTGATATGATGAGACTGGGCTAGGTACGTCCCGCAGTGGTATAATGGCACCGGGCTGAGATACGTTCCGCGGTGAAAGGTTTTATTAGAACCAGTGGTAATACCTATTCCTATATCTTGGAAGAGTGTATGATTTGACAAGCTAATGAAGTAAAAGCCACTGAATCAACCCAATCTGTGATGTGATTGAATCCTTGTATAAAGATTTCCTATGATGAGATTATGTAATGACTTCCTATGATCTGATATACAAAATGTGCATGTGGATGATATAGTTATGTGATGGTTTTCTATGCGTTTACTACATTGATACGGTATTGGAGTGCTTGATGAAATGAATAAATGTATGTGTTATCGAATGAAATCTCTTGTGCCGTGATCTATCTGTGATGTGGTATATGACATGTGTTGTGAGACTATGCTTGAAAATGACTATGTATTGTCGGTTGTTACAGTATGGTAAGTGATATGAATGTGTCATGGATGATAGGAGAAGTACTTCGGGGGTACAACATCACTCGTTACTATTTTGGTATTGATGTTTGTATTAGGTTATTGTTTACTCATTGAGTGACGTCTCACCCCCGTCAATATTTTTTCCCAGATTCAAAGGGATTGTGAAAGAAGAA